TACATATTCAAGTCACCACACCTCGCGCATGTGTTTTGAGCTCCTTGATCAACCGAAAATATCTATGAAACGTTCCTTCAATGAGTGCGGGGATGCATCGCAGCTCCCAAGTATGCGTTTATTTTGCCACGGGCTAAACTAAAGAACTTCGACAGCTCAAATTCGGTGACTGCGAGGGTGCAGCCTTGCAGCTCCGTGAAACCTACACCTGAGGTGCTAGGCTTGGCGAGAGCCAAAAAATAAAGCAGATTACATAATAGGAGCTGAAGATACCCGTAAGTCACGAGGTCGCTGCTGCCGCACCCATCGTCCGTCGCTCAGAAAGGGGAGTTTCTCGGCTTATCCTCTCAGAAGAAGCCGGCGCAAAAGGGGACTTTTTTCTTCGCCTCGCCGTGCTACAATACAAGAAGAAAGAGGGCGAGGAGGACTTTCCGCCAGGCGGAAGAATATTTCTGCTGGTCCCCCTTTAAGTGGATATAGCGGAAGATATAGTAAAATGCATCGAGGGGGAGGCGCGGGGGAGAGTACCCCAAGTAAGGCGATCGGGAAGATTGTGATAGTTGTCTGCTATGTACAACTATATACCGCACGGATATAAAAGCTCCTCGAGATAAAAGGTAGAAATGGAGTTTTCGGCACGGAACCAGTTGAGCGGCATTTACTCATTAATGTGGCCATTTGGGCCACTTGGTACATGTAGGTAATCCGCAGTGGAGAAGCGCGTGGGGAAAAAAAAGTCGGGGAAAAATGGCTGAGGCATAAAACACATGTCATCATTGAAGTTCGTGCCATGCACCAAGGAAGTGGTACACAATATATCTTTCTTTCGTTCGGGAAGGTATGCGGCGTGTGAGCTCTTCTGCTCTTTGCGGACCTATTGTGTTTGTTTACCCCCTAAACGCGCTCACGTGCTTTTTCCCCTCACCCCCCCCCCCCCCCAAACTCGACCAATGACGGCGAACGCTTCGCCACTTTGTCATCGCGCGTTCTGTGTGCGTTCTCCATGTTGCCATTTAACTGGCGTCCTCCCTCTTTGCGTCCCGATGCGCCAAATACGTACTTTTTAGCACTTGCTCGGGTCTCTTTATCAGGAACCGCGTGCTTCAGCTTGGCCATACATTGCCTAGACTGCGCCTGCAAGCCTCAACTAGAGATTTGTAGCGTTGTATACACACTGGAACAAACAAGTGCTCGAGAGATAGTACTAGAGCACGTAATAAAAAAAGAAGGGACCAACCTGCGTGAGGCAGACTATCTTGACATTATTGGACAGTGAGGTGTCGAATTCTCAGATCGGGATATGACGAGTTGGCGGTTTATAACTGATGGAGCCGAGTTATCTGTAGTGCAGGTGCAATCCCATCCTGAAGAATGGGTTGTGCAGGTTTTTTTTTAATTTCTTGGTTTCTTGGAAAATAAAATGAGAGAGTTGTTAGTCAGCATTTGTTTCGTCCAATTTATTGCTTCGTCCGTGTTCCGTCACTCTGTTTCAATATGAATACGTAACACATCGCGCGATTATCGATTTAGTTGACTAGTAATTGGTAGCTGGCAACTTGACGTCAACAGGGAGGGAAACACATTTATTTCTGTCCTCACTTCTACCTCTATGTTCTTCTTACAGCCCGTAATGTGTCGATGTATGGCAGACAAACGAAATTAAATAGCTATGTTAAATTGTGCTTTTGCTCCATCTTTAAGGCTATACAAATCCCAGCAATAAACATTCCGAAGATATAATAACATTACTTTATGATTTTGCAATATACTTTTTTGTTATTGATTCTGCTGTCCGAGTCCGGCAGGGCGTTAGAGAAAAAAGGCTATTCTGCCTGACCAGTCCTCTTCGCCCATTACAGTTCAATAGCACCAAAATTAAATAAAACCAGATGAATATAATAAAAAAAGAAATACATGGGATGCATAAACAATTAACAAGAAAGGTTATATATACACCATATTCAATAATATAATAAAACTATTTTAAAAAGTCACTAAGAGAGCATAGCGAATTAAAAAACGAGGGAGTGCAAAAAACACGCATTGAAAGGCACTACCGATTTTGAAACAGATAAAAATACTACTACGCATCTAAAGGCTAAAACCGGAATGACAACAAGCGGTAGCACATCCCGAATGGCCCATTTCTAAAATAGCAGAGTAGAAGGTTGTCACTGTTATAGGTGTGAATAACCAGATACGTGAAGAGTAAAAATCAAGACACATTAAATATGAAACGTAATGCTGCGATTAATACATCTATTTAATAACTGGGAAAGGAATACAGATGACTACATTGAGCGTCCAAAATAGAAAAGATAGTTGATATTCTAGTTTTTGTTTACCATCATTAGTTCGAATTATGGGCGTCTGATATTTAGTTTGTCGGGGACAGTTATCTCTCTCGCCTTGAATGTTTAAAAAAAAATTATAGAGCAGCTTCTTGTGTAGGTATTGTACCAGTTTAAAATATTTTATGTTATTTGCTTTTAGCATGTTATGTATAATGTATACGGTTCGCAGTGAACGTCATGCACGTTTCCGTGGTAGTCTGCGTACACACGAAGTACTTTATTTTGCAGCACTTAGAGTTTGTTATAATTTTCGATCGTTCTAGTACCCCAGATCATAATACTAGATGAAAGAAAGGAGTAAAATAGCGAATGATAAATGCACTTTTAGAACCAGAGCGGTATTATATTTGTAATTGTGTACATGCATCGATCCACTTGCTCTTGCTATTTGTGCTTTCAGGTGTGTAATGGGCGTGTACCACGTGAGCTCTTTGTAGAACCAAACACCAATGATTTTTTGTTGTTTTGCTTGTTCGAAGGTGGTGTCGGTAAATTTAATCACGGTCATGCTATCGTCCCGTTTTTTCGCTGGCCTGAATATAACATATTTGGTTTTAGATGGATTGAGTTGCAGTTTATTTATTTCTAGCCACTCGGACAAAGTCGACAAATAACTATAGCCATACCTCAGAGAAGTTGCTTACTTATTCCACTGAAAAGTACATTCGTATCATCCGCAAACATCACTATGTCTCGTGAATTTAGAATATTGACTATATCAATAATGTATATTAGGAATGATAACGGATCCATATTGGAGACTTGGTGACACCTGTTTGATTAGTACTTTTCTTGACGGTACTTTTTTAACCATACCATGCTGATACCGATTTCCTAGATAATTTTTGATTAATTGCAAAGCGACCCTACGTATACAATAGCGCTCGAGTTTTCCCTATAAAATATCATGCACTGTATCAAATGCCTTTTTATATCTAAGATTATTCCCAATGTATATAACATGTTTTCTATATTATCTAAAATTGCATCCTTTATGTGAAAAAGTTGTTGCTTGGTGGACATATTTTTGTAAACACCAAACTGTGCTTCAGTTATTAGAATGTGATTTAAGAAATACTCTTCTAGGCTTTTTTTTTTTTTGCGGTTTTTTTGTTTTGTTTAGGGGGCATAGATAAAGGCGCGAAGCCTGAGAGAGTTTCTGCCCCCCAACAGTTCAACAGTCAGCAGTGCACTAAATATTCATTCAGCAAAACATGGCATAGTCAGTAAAAATAAAAATAAAAAAGAAGGCGCAATGAAACAGTGTGAAATGTAAAATGCAATAAAAGGGCACAATGAAGCAACTAGCGAAATCACATGTTACACAACAAGCATTATTCGTAGCACAGAACAAATGTAACGTCGTATGACACAGAAGCCACATATCACTAATATAGACAAAAAAAAGCGTTCCACGAAAAAACAAAAAAAAAAAGAGAAGGACACAGCATAAAATAGGACTGGTGGCCGCCATCGAGTTCAACAATGAAGAATGAGCAAATGATAGACGACTGCACGCTCAAATAGTTCGGACAAAATTGGTAAAACTGATATTGGCCTGCAGTTTTGCAGAATAGTCATGTCCCCACCTTTATGAATCGGACTTTCTCTGGCAATTGTGAGTTTGCCAGGAAAAACTCCCGCAATAAACATCTGCTTAATGAAATGCAAAATAATGGGGCTTAGCGTGGAGGACGCATACTGGATAGGAATAGTTTTTATCCTGTCAAAACCAGCTGCAGCGTTACTTTTTTTAGATTTCTGATTATTATATAAGCTTCGTACGGAGTCGTTGGAAATAACATAATGGTCAGTGTGTCGATGAGATTCCATATTCGACCAATTTACAAATTAATCAATCAACTAGATGTTACCGTTTAATCGATTAAAATTTGTGATTTGTGTACAGCATATGGCTGTTCATTCAAAGACGAGGTAGTGGATATGAGGAAAACGCGTCCGATTTTTTGCTATTCCATCACATAAGAGAACAGCTATATAGTGCGAGACAGCAACGATTGCAGGGTTTAGTAGGCACCTGAAATTTCTAAAAGGGCCTGTTTTACCTCAAACATACGAGTATGATACACCAGATCGATGCACGGAGTCTGTGGCAAAGACTCTTAATAAAGATGCCACAGGGTACCATAACTCCGAGATTTCCGCAGTTCAATATTCACTAGTGCCACCATGTAACCTGCCTCCAAATGGCACCTGTGTGCGACAATTTCCATGCATAATTTCCATGCAACCTTGGTTCCCTTATGTTTGGTGTCTCTGGACATGCGCCCACGGCTCAACATCAAAAAGAGCACCGTAATGACAACACCATGTGAACATGCTTCTTATTAAAAGCCGCATGCGTGCACGATTCAGCAAAGCACAGTTCACTTTCTCGGTATAAGACCAGACAGTGTTGACCTTGAATGGCGGCACAAATGGACGGCACATTGAAATCAATACCGCGTTTGCCAGCGCCAGAGTAATCAACACCATCAATAATACACTGCTTCCCAATGTCAGTGCACGTTGCTTTGCCCGAATTAAAGTCGCGAAAGGGAACACTTACGTGTTTCATTTCCCGTCGCCGGCACGCAACAACGCCCACCAATTAACGAACGAAGTATAGGTCATAATTTCACTCACCATAATCGGGTTCTTGTGGCGGCGTCTGCGCACTGGCTTTCACCTCGGGACTTTTCACTGTGGTCTCGATGACAATTGTGTTGGCGTTTTCCGACGGTTCCTTGTCCCTGGAATCTGTGGGATTGCAAAGCTCAGTTACAAGGCTCATCGCTATTCATTGGCGATATTTGCGGAAGTACTGCCTTGAACAAAATGACCCATTATGGTACAACTCGGTTGCTCTGAAGCTCTTTAGTTCCCTCCACTCGTTGGATTCATCCAACGGCAATAGTAGAGCTCCTGGGTTACCCGAAAGAAGTCGATTCCGTGTGTTTTACGAGGACGTGCTCCCGAATAGCGCTAATGTGAGTGAAGAAACGTGTCCATGACTCCTAATTTCACTCAATAGAGGTTGATACGTTTGCACATTTCTGATTTCACTCAGCAAATTAAAATGTGCATGCCATAGGTTAGTCATTCATGATTATTAAAAGCGTTTGTGAAATAAGGACATATATTACTGCTAAATACAAGATGATAAAATTAACCTTCAATTTGCAACTCGTATATTAATTACCTCCTGACTCGAAAATAACTACTTCTATATTAAAAAAAAAAATATTGTTATGAAGTCAGAATCTAAAACTCGTGATCGTACGAAAAAAAAAAAATAGAACGACGAACATATGGGATCAATCTGTCTCGTTAATCGACTGCAACATTGTTTTTACCAACTGTTCATTGAAAACGCCTTATAAAAATATTGCAGCAAAGTTCAAGGCGTTGAACAGAAAGCTATATAATTCATAATTCCTAAATGCGTCAAAATGTTTTTTTTTATAATCGTTTTTGTTTTCATGTGGTTTTCATGTTCAAGTAAACAAAAACATACTGAGTGCTCCTTCTGTAATGCAATTCCGTACATAGGGTTTAAAAAATTGTCAATACAAGTGTTACCTCAACTTTCTTTTGAGTAAGGAAAGCAACTTTAAAGTGGCTCAAAACACCTTCTGCAATGCATTTTTTAGAAACCTTTTTTTAACACAAAATAAGTTTTTTGGTTTGATTTAATGCAAAAGCATGACGCTCAAGTGTAACAAAAAGGTGGCACACGCAGGTCAGTGCAACATAAAGCATACATAGCCCATAGCAGACAATGCTTGAGCATGCAGAGCCTATAGAGGCATACTTATATTCATACTTAACCATAACTAATTATAGTTAGCGAGATTTACGAAGCGGCGTACTTAGAACCGAACCCTGGACCTTATGACCCGTGACTCGAAACCTTCGCTTGGCCCCACTTGGAGGAGGCGAGCGGGAGCGCAAGCAGCTGGGCTAAGTATGACTCAAAATAGCCTGCGGTCATGACCATTACTGTAAACCCGGGAAGTACATTTCCATGTCGTGCGTTCAAAGCACCCCAAACTACCCAAAGCATTCTGAACCAAGCACGAAAAATAATAGCGCACGCATAATGCACGAACGACACATTTTGTGCTCCACGGGTTTATCAGAATGATCAAGACAAGTTTAATATTTTTTGTGTGTGGCGGTTTTATCCCATCTCAAAGCATAAATAAGGTCGCTGAACGATGTGCATAAACCATACTTGAAAGCGATAGCTGTTATTGGCCTGCCGGAGGGATTTAATAGAAGATTTTGATTAAAAAAAATGCAAGGACAGCAGATGTCTAAATGTGTAGACTAAAGTTTGATAGAAACCGAAAAGAATGTCGATAGAGAGGATTTTTCCGCGCTTCAAAAAACCACAAGTGGTTTAATCAGGCGCCCAAGTCCAGGAAACAATATGATACTGATAGTTGGTCCTTTAGTCCATCATCCCGACCCCCTTTTGTTTAAGTGTCTTTGTACATAAGTACCAAGACATTCCACAAAATGTGGATTGAAGAAATGTTTGTAATAAACAATGAAAGCGCAATTTGCGAAACAAAAACATGACAATGTTTTGATGAAGGCAGTTAGAGAAAATAGGATGCAACAAGTGGTCAATACAGAGTGATGAAACGGGTCTCCTAAGATAGGACGGAAATTATTAAACTATAATTAAAGTAGATGTCAAATACTCACCCTCTTCCTCGTCTTCAACCAACTCCATGTGCATGCTTGTTCGAAAAGTCTTGGTGTCCCTGCATTCACAAATACGAAGATGCCGGAATGCAATAAACACATAACGAAAAAAACTATAAAAATGAAGTAACACATGCAATTTCTACTTAGAATGGGACTGCGAGCGAGCCAATTTGCCTGAATGATGTTTAGTCGTTATTGTATCTTGGCTCCAACACTCCCGGTCCGGCTATCTCGGTGACCATGTTTTAATGACAAAGGTACTGAAAACAAAGCGGAATTAATAGAATAGTTTGCGATGTTCGTTTTCGAACTCCCGATGGAGCTTTGGCGTTAATTTTAGAATACTTTGTATTCAGTCCTTTGTGGGTATTTTGAACACAAAAAATCGATAGACTCTCATGACATGACGCCGTGTTTCGGTAGTTATGAAAGTGTGCTTAGTGACAATCATTCGAGTTCGGGACACAAGTAAGAACACATAATGTGCCAACATTTACTTTTACCACGAAAGGCACTCCAAAACACAAGACGGAAATAATGTCAAAGAGACGCTTGTTCTATATGTAGAGCTCTGAAGCTTCATGTGTGAAAACTCATAAACTACAAAAAAAAAAAAGGCTTACAGATTTAATCATAACGGATGATAGGTTTGACGACACCTGCAAGTAAATAACAGCGATTTTATATGCCACCAGATTAAAATTTAATATTTTTTCAAAACATTTTTCCTTAAGTGATGCTTTGCTATGTTTTGCTTACAACTGATTTCGAGAGGAGTGGGTTCTCCTAATATGAAAGAAATAATTTATTCTGTTTAGCTCGATTTTGTATAAAGCCGACGCCGGCATCTAGTTGAGGATTTTTGCACGTGACTGTGACAGTACGATACATTAATGGAGGTGTTACGAGTAACGTATTCGTTATCACCGCATGCAACCTAAAAAAAAACTCGTTCAAAAAAAAAATAATTGAGGAGTTTTTTTGTTTTTTTTTGACGAACGTGTAACAATTGGGAGGAACTGATAAAGCAGTTCAGTGAAACATCTGATGTCGGACACCCCTCTCATTCAGATATCATCCCCAAATTAACAACCTCTCAAAGCGCAGGCTTATTGTATGTCTCCTATTGGACACCCGTATAAGTCGTAGAACCAATGGGTCAGAAGATTGACTGTATACGGGGGCTTTTTTTTTTATCTCCAATAAGCCGGGTAACCCCCCCCCCCCCCCCCCCCTCAGTACACAAACCCACACACAAAACGAAAGAAAAAAAGCGTGATAAAGTATGTCTTAATATACTCGTCCACGTAATCATCGCGCAGATTTAGGCGTTCATATCATGGCGTGGCACAAGCTCTTGAATGCCCTCTCCAAAGAAAGTTGCCGCCTAGGTTATCAGTCGTTCTACCATGCGAGAACAAGACCGTCAGTCGCCATAAACATGTAATCTGTATGAAAGAACTGCATAAAGTTTCAGGGAGGAGTAGCAGACGACCATGACGATTTGAGTCACAAAAGAACATCTGTGGCGACTGACGGTCTTGTTTTTGGCCCGATGATAGACTAAGAACCCAGACGGTAACCTTCTTTGGTAAGGTCATTCGAAAGCGTGTGCCACGTCATGGTAATTGCATAAATCCTTTCGGTGTTTATGCATCCAAATTTTGCGTAGATTAAAATGTTCCATCACTTTTGTTTTTTGTAGCCGGTTCCACGAAGGTTAAAAGGGCAGGCCTCGAATAACCTAGTGTCACATCTGTACGGGTTTCTTTCTCCTTCGTGCTTTTAATAACAGTATGCGAATACATTCCAATAAACTTGACTCTTCTCAAAATTCATTAAAGAATGCCAAATAAAGGTTATTTTTGTTCTTTTTGAGAAGACAAATAATTAATGCGGCTATATTGTCCTGTTCTGTTACTTTTAAAGCGCAACACAACGTTAAAAGAAATGCTTGGTCGTCGCGAGCACTGACTGTTGGCTGTAGTTCGGGAGGCTGATCTTCTCCAGCGTCTTTTTCTTGCGTATCCTGGCCTGGCTGCTCATCTCGGCGGTTGACTGGAGCACCTCACCGGAGAACAGGACCTGCGAAGGACACAAGCAGGTGCAGCACCGGTAAACACCATGCACCGACTGGTGCAAGGAGACAGTCCCCAATTTAATGAAATACCAAGCAAATATTGAGTTTTAACTCTTAGCCTCTGGGTGTGGGCGTGGCAGAATTTGCTATCCGATTTTGTCTACTGGGAGCAGCTCCATTTTTGCCGCTAAATTTAGCGGGGAAATTGATTTTGTACATAGGTCACGTGACATGAAGTATGCGATATCATTTTTCCCGCTAAATTTAGCGGGAAAACTGAACTGGCGCTGAGGTGACGTGACGTCACTTTTCCCGCTAACTCTAGCAGGGAAACTGAATTTCTGTATAGGTCTCGTGACACGAAGTCATCTGACATAATTTTTCCAGCTAAATTTAGCGGGGAAACTATGTTGGCGTTGAGGTCACGTGATGTCAATTTTCTCGCTAAATCTTGTGGGGAAAGTGAAGTCATGTCACGTCACAGGGCACGGCTTTAATCCGGCTTCCTTAATCCGGCTTCACTTAATCCGGCTTCATTTAATCCGGCTTCACGAAATCCGGAGCAACTAGCCAAAGAACGTTTCACGTTAAAAGGGGCCTGACGTCATGCAGCTGCGGTGCCGCTGTCGACGGCACTGCGCATGCGCAGACACTTCACGCGAATTCGGTTTCCGAGCACGCGCAGTGCCCACACCTGGTGTGGGCAAACGCGGGCTTGTTTGTAAACAGCGTAAAGGTACAAAGATACAATGACACACACTCACATACTTGCCCCCCCACACACACACACACGCACAGACACGCATTCTACACTCTAAGAAATGCCTGTGCGTCTACTTACCCGCAAAACACTCAGAGTCACGCAAACATGAATTTGAGGTCTAAACGGATGTTCTGCCTTATCATTCGCTGAGCTGATTTCGTAGATCGCAGAGATTGGCTCTTAGAGTGTTTTGCGGGTAAGTAGACGCGCAGGCATTTCTTAAAATGTAGTAAAGCAAAACTATAAAAAAGTATAGTTTTTGTTTTTCTTCAAAACTATTGGTAGTGTCGAAATCTATCGATAGTAATATCGGTAGTCGACTCGATAGTAATATTTTCGATAGTTGACTATCAGTAGTTAACTGCATATAGTTTACTATCGATAGTTCTATCGATAGTTGGCTCTCGGTTGACTTTCAATACTATCGAAAGGCAACGTTCAGAAAACTATCGAGGGTTATGAAAAGAAAATTACGACCCCAAACAGAGATGACGACGGATATGTCCGGGTAGACAGCACGGGGCACTGGGGAAAACACGAACTAGAAAGGAAACTAAACATGAAGTTGTCTTCCCATACAATGAGTTTCGAAATAAAACCAAAATGGCGTTTTGCTACTTTATTTGGGCACATATTTTGCATATTCCTGGAGATCAGATATCAAAATTCGCACTTTAGTATTTGTAAGCATTCGTAAGCATTTGTAAGGGTATAAAGTACATTCAGTGTTGCTTTGTTTCTTTGTTGTTGTCTCGGAGCCAGGGAAAAAGCTCGCTGAAGACGCTAAGCATCAAGGTTTTCACAAATGTGTTTCACGCTTGTGTATTTTTTCATTATTCAATTGTTACACATTATTTTACATATTTGAAACTACTGACAGGTAAAAATGGGCACTCTGCTGGGATCATATGTTTTCTTGTTTGTTTGCTTGTTTTCTTTCAGCTGACCATCATTCATAGCTAAGTCGCGAAAATCAGGAATTAACTTTTGACAAAAGCAATTAGGCTTGTTTGCCGTGCTATGTTGCCACCTTTTTCTCGGTTTTATTTTGGCAGATTTTAGTAACGGAGGATAGTAAATGATTCAAATCTCAGTATAGAATACAACTTCACAGTATAGGACTGGTTATATAATGTATAGATAACTATTTTTACTCAACAAATCTCACAAAACTATTGTTACAGACACTTCAAATAGAATATTACCTCATAAAAAGCGTATGCCAAGCCAACATGTTTAGTTACTGGTGCTTTTATTATTTTTGTTCTTCGCATACAATAAGTTTGGGAAGATGACGTTAGCTGAATAACAAAATATAAGAAAAATACGAAAGTTTCCCGTGATCCATGTAACCATATTCTTGGCAAAGTGAGGCATTTTTTTCACCGAAAAAAAACTTGTGAATCGAAAAGGCAATATTTTTTTAAGCATTACACATACTTATCTTATTATCCAGGTAAAGTCATGCCGGATTCGAACACCATCGCTAACATATTATTCAAATATTTTTTTTTTTTTTTTTTTTTAATTTTTGGAGATGCGTAGTTTGAGGGGCGACAAGCGGATTTTCATTTTCCTAATTCGAACATGTCTCTAAGAAACGAAGTGCGGTCTCCCGGAAAGGAATCTGGAAACAGCAGGAAAACTTTGACAACCTATCAAGAAAAATATTTATGTTCCACTATCGATATCTGTTATTCATAGTTTTTCAATAGTATACAATTGGTTTTCTTTTGATATTTTGTCCCTAGGTAATGACAGTTGCGTTTTTCTCCGAGCTTCACGACATTTCTTGGACGGACTCTTGACGTTCTTTGTCAATTAATAAAAGACTATCGATATTTTCACTATAGTTGTTATCGTTAGTTTCACGATAGTCAACCATCGATACTATACTATCGATAATTATAAGACAGTCAACAATCGATAGTTTTACGACAGGCGACTATCGATAGTACTTCTTTCAATATCGATGGTTTGATTTGGCCTCCACTATCAATAGTACCTATACTACTATTGATAGTTCTGCACCACTAACACACACACTCAGACACGTGTGCAAACTCACACAAAACACACACACACACAAACAAAATGAGAACGTCAACTGTCCAAATAAGACGTGGCATTGTTGTGTCAAAGGACTCTTTTTTCTTTTTTTTTTTTTCTTCTCTGCTTTGCAAAGACTGACAATAAACTCGTAAGAGTTCTTTGTTGGTCAACGCAAGCACAGGTCACGCGTTTAACTGGGACGAAAACCACTGCAGTCGTAGGCAGCTTTTTGAGCAATGCATCAACGCTTGACTTTTTTTATGGACGGACTATCAGTATTTTTGGTGTATGGTTTATCACCATCCGCTGAGCTCCACAAGACACGTTAGAAACAACGCGTGGCTGTAATGGACATCGCTGGCGCCAACTGGCACGAAATCAAATTGCGCCTCCGCCTCTTCTGGCCGTCAGTTGAGGACTAATGAGGTTTGAATATTCTTCTTTGTATGACATGCTCGAAGAGTTCTTGAAACCCAGAAATTATTAGCGCGTCATGCTTCCATGTCAGAAACCACAATCAAATTTTTATGGGCTCCTTTTTTTCCGCGGAAGGAGAAATCCGGAAGCGGAGAAGCGAAGGAGACAAATACAGCAATGTGACGGCATCCGACGGACTTTGATCAATCATGAGCAATGTGGTGATTTACTTGGATCCCCTTGCGACTGGGAGACTCCTAAGAGCATCTACCAACCACGAAAGAAGAAAATGTTTAGCCGTATATCTGATACTAATTAATGATATATATTTCTCAACCTCTACTCCTCTGCCCCCTTCACACATTAAGGGATCTTTAATAACGCTTTTTGTATAGAAAAGCTACGGGCGTGGTTATAATTTGCGGGTGCGTAAGATTTGTGAAGCACAGAATTTGTAAAGTTCTAAACAGACGAAGTGAAAAAAAAAATCTTTTAAACTTACAAAGGCTGTTTTATTTATTTTCCATCAGCTAGATCCTGGTAGATTCTACAGAAAGAACATAATCGGAGTAGCGTATATAATAAGCAAAAATACATAAAATTATACAAGAGGTAATTTATATGTGTATGGATAAGCGGTTGAATAACCACTCAACACCGTTCATGCCATATAAAATAATCCTACGGCCTAGCACAAATTCAGCAGCATTTTGCAGAATTCAATCCCATGAATTTTATGAAAGATGCCTCAGTAAGGGAAGTTGAAACATATTTCAGCTAAAGGACATTTAAAAGCGCCAGCCTTCTGTTGTTCTTTTTAGAGCGCGGCTGTTAGGCGCCCATTTCCGGCTTGAGCGGCGTCGGCGTCAGCGTCGGCGTCGGCGTAACCGCGCGGTGCATGATCGGTAAATTTTCCCACTAAATTTAGCGGAAAATTTTCCCCGCTAAATCTAGCTGAAAATCTTCCCCGCTAAATCTAGCGGAAAAATTTCCCGCTAAATCTAGCGGGGAAAATTTCCCCGCTAAATTTATCGGAAAATAATTCCCGCTAAATTCAGCGGAAAATTTCCCGCTAAATTTAGCGGAAAATTTTCCCTGCTACATTTAGCGAAAATTTTCCCCACTAAATTTAGCGGAAAAATTTCCCCTAAATAGGGGGCGAGCAGGAGAGGGGGAGGGGAATGGTCTCTTCTCCGTACCTTCCCCTTCTCCTCCTCAAGGGCTGCGCTCTAATTCGGCGTTAAAGGGAGTTGTAAACGGCTTTCATTTTTGTCCCCAGGTTCATATGGTGCACTAAAGCTGGAAATTAGTAAATGCGTCACTTTTATCTGAGGAGAAATCGCCACAGGGCATCTGCGAACTTTGTTGTCAGCTGTGATATGTCTAGAATAAAAGCTTAAATCGCCCAATAGGTTACGCATAGAGTATCGCCACTCCATGTCTTCATTTCTCAATTTGCTTCTTCCTTATGGCGCTGTTATTTTGGATTTTGGTGTCAGAGCTTGCGCAATGGCGATGGCCAGGATTAAAAATGCAGCCGTCTAAGCTTTGCGTACTGTGAGGGGAAGCTCAGGCGATATCGTTTTGTTCGATTGCGAGCTGTTTTACCATTTCTAAAAAACAGAAAACCGTTTTTTTTTTTTTTTTCAGAGAGACTTTAGATAAACTTTTAAATAACTGGCAACACTAATATAAAGCGCCAGGATGAAGAAGTGTCGTTACTCTGAGGCGTATATGCTTATTTGGTTGCTCAAGTCACGCGTATGTACTGCC